AAAAAAAAAAAAAGGCTGCTTCTTGGTATGCGTATAGTAAGGACAAGATGAAAAATTATGTTTTTAAGATGAAGACAGTCAAATAAATTTGAACAAGTTTCAGCAAATTCATGTTAAAAAATGTGCCTCTTTAAGAGCCAACAACAATTTCAATCATCCTCACATATAAAAGCCTCGTCTTCTTCACATTATTAGCAGACTAAATTCAAGAAAATGCACTTCGGTGTGCCAATTTATGAAGCCGACCTATCTAAAAAGAACATTAGGTCCGTCACCGTCAAACAGAGTACAAAAATTTCTTCTAAAAAAACTATAAAAATAAATGTAGAAACGAATTTCAAGGTCTGGGACATTACAAAGGACAGATTAACAACGTACACATATTTCCAAAAGAGGAAATTGTACCTTTGAAGTAAAGTAGGAACCAAAAAATCAGCAATTTCTTTAAAAAGAAAATAAAAAGAGACTAATATTGAGAAAACCAAGGAGAAAATTGGCAATTTTGCTTTTACTGCTTACTTAGACTTTCTTTGCCTCTTGTTTATAATCAATCAGACCACTTTTTATCTACAAATTTCATAGAATGCACAAGTACTACCCACTTATCCACCACTCACTTCTATCCATTTATAACTTAGAACGGATTATAAACAACTTTCAAACATGCTTTTAATGTAGCGAACAAATATGCTGGAAGTAAAAGACACTTCAACACAAGTCTCATTAGATAAACAAGAGCTCCATACACCAAGATAATAGGGAGATAAGAAAGAAAGATCATGTTAAATTTATCAATGCATATTCATAATTTTGTAAACAAGACTAATATTCACCTCACAGGTAGGAACAACAGCAGAGAATGAGAGGGTCTTGATGCACCACTGCAGAGTGAAACGAGCATCTTGAAGTTTTGGGATCATGTTGAGCTCAAGACCAAAAGAAAAACCAGCTTCCATGGTGGGCTTTAGTGAAAGAAGACATTTTTGAAATCTGGGAATAAGACAGCTGGTATTCCCATCACCAATACTATCAATCTTCCACAAATTCTCTGCATCCTGCAGTAAAGAGCTGGCATCTTGCTCCCACTCAATGCACTTCTTTAAAACTTCTTCAGCAACTGAACATTCATCCAAATATACCTTCAGCAACTTTGACTCAGCCACCAAATTCTGCAGTATTCCAAAAATTGTCATGCCACGTTCTTTAATCTTACAAATAAATCATCAACAGAACACCATGACAACCTTTAAGGCCTCAACTTTGAGGAGAGAATTTGAGGCTGATATGATGGGTAAATCATGAGACAGAAATGGCTTCAACTTGTCTAACCAAGCCTTGGCCGTTGACACTGCATCCTTGACATGGATAAGAGAAGGTAGAATAATACATATATCCTCAGAAACCCTACAAATGATTCAGATATCAGAATCAGAGCATCAGCACAATACTCAAGTTAAGGTAAGAAAAATACGGATTCAAAACCTTAAAATATCCTCGAATTCAGACATCTGTGCTTTACTAGCAAGAGCATGCTTTGCTTTCTCTTCCCACTGCAAGGCAACTGCATGTCTTCTAGATATATCAACAAATAGCTTCTCCTTTTCAATCTGTAGTCTATGTGGCATGCAAAGTTTGAAACTTAATAGTAATGTATTGCATTTTTACAAGATATAAATAGTAAAATGTAAAACAAATGAAAGAGATCATACGCGTTTGCCTCCATTATCAGTTGCTGGATGAAGTCCATTGACATTCCACAGTCAAGTGCCTGCAATAATAATTCATTTTTAACTATATGCCTGCATAACATATATCAAAATAATATATGCAGAGCCTTCCATCCTATATTAAGTTCAATTTGTTCCATCAAGATTTCCCAACTAATTTATCCTTGAAAAAATGTTTATTTCCGAATCATCCTTCTGTTCCATGTTAAAAACAGAACTCATGAAGTCAAGTCCCATCAGATTTAAATTCAAACTGAAGGTTTATAAAAGACACCATAGAAATCAAAGTTTGTCATTTCTTTAAACATTCCCTCATGAAACATGGCATGCAACACAGACATATTGAGTGTACAGAATGCGAATTACAAATCACAGCATACAAGTGAATGTAGCAGTTGGTTTACTAATATTTGAAGCAATAGCAAATCAAAAATTAAAGGCCCAACAAAAGGTACAACATAACAATCATTGGAACAAGTTCATGTCCAAAAGCAATATTCTGCATTTAGTTACCTTTAAAGCTTTAACCCGGCAACAAGCTTTCTTAAGCTCAATCTCAACGCAAGGCAACTCATCAGCTACATTTAAATTGGAAAGGACAAACAGATGACACCACTAGATAAAATGAAATAAAATTCTATAATGCAACAAGACTAAGTTGAAAAAACCTTTATAATAAGAAAAGAACAAAGAGAATAGGTATGCTTACCCTGAATTTTCATTGATAAACCATCCCTATGAATTTGGGTTAACTCATCAACGACATTTTCTTGATCCTCTCTTTCATGAACATTCACAAGAACATGATTAACACGGGATACCCATGATATGGCATCACTATAGTATTGTTTTAGAAGGTTTAGTTCTTGAATATTAACAGTAAAACCATCCCATTCTTTGAGAAACAGATCAACATTCTGCACAAAAAAATAAAAATAAAAATATATGTAGTTCTTAAAGTAAGTTTCATTTACAATGTCCTTAATTGAAAGATATTTATATCTGCTACACACAACCTTTAGGCTGATGGAATCTTTCAACATCTCATTGCATTGAGACCAGCAAGATTTAGCTTGCCTTGTCAAATCAGAAAGCAATCCAGCCTCAGGAAGCTGAAGTTTTAGTTCTAAAATCTGGAAAATATAACCAAGAAAGAGTTAAATTGAATTTTCTAACAGAAAAATACAATAACAAGAGCAGTTGTGTGGGTGTGGGTGTGAGTGAGAGACAGAGAATCAATTGATCAGACAGAAAAAGATTATGTGACATCATAAGGTTATGCTAAATGGATGGCATATGTCTTTGAAACTTCAGGAGAAAGAAGGTTTTAAATTACCTCAGCCTCCAGCTTGTAAATTAAATCTACCTCAACTGCACCAGGAGATTTCTCGGAGATGCAATTTCTTACACTATCCACCCAAACCTGTACAACCTCAGCGGTAGCAAAAAAATAGGACATGCATCAGAAAGCCAAAAGGAGAAGAAACAGAATGCGCTCACTAAAATGCAGAAGGAAGAAAACACTCCATTTTCATATCTAAAAAATTTTGAAGATGCATCCATAAAATGGGTATTGGTAAGTGTAATTTTCTTTTAAAATTATTCTAGTAATTTACTTATACAATGGTTAGTTTAGTCTTCATTTCTCTATTGAGTTCTCTGTGGTGGACTTGAGCTTTTACAAAGAACGAGAAGTCGAGGATTAAAATATGGAAGCACAAGGTAATTTGAAGCTTGGATGTAGGTGCGAGATGTTGGAGGATCGAAATGGGGAGAAAGATGAGCCTTGAAAAAAAGATTCGGTACAAAAAAGGAGACCAAGAATCTGATGGATGTCAAACTTTTGGAGGCCACCAGGAAGAACCCAAATATTAAGGCACCTTCCGACCTCATTCTGGCGGCTGCAAGAATTTTGGCAGCCTCCAAAATGGCCATGCTAGAACTTTTTCAAAATAATGGCAATTTCAGTATTTGTCTTGCCCAAGAATGTCAAGGGCATTAAATGGCACATTTTTCGAGGGCTGCAAAGGAAAAAGTACAAAAACAACTTTTTGGAGAATTGGAGGGAGAAATTCGTGAAAATTTATTGGTGGCTCAAAAGTCATGATGCACCAACACAGACACAAGTGTTGACATGACATGAGTCCAACACCATGACACATGATTTTTATTAAAAAGTAGTACACAACACGTCGAGGACATATTGAATTTAACAATATCAACTGTTTAATTTTAATGGCTTTTTATTTATTTTTAATTATTGTTTCATATATTTCCCTCAACGCGCCACAGCCACTACTTTGACTTCTTTTATGCAATTATGAACTCCACGGAAACTTCTCTTTGGTCATTCCTAGCTTACTTTTGGAATTGGAGACTCGGACTAAAACTTCTCCATAAGACTAGGAACCAAAAACCAGATGGCGAGGAATTAGACCAAGGGGAATTTTATTATTTTATAATGTAAATATAAGTAATGACTTATCAAATTTGCATGGGTAGTTGTGGGCTCCATTTTTCATTTGGAACACATTCGTAATTGTTTATTCTAACTTCTAAGGTAGTGGATCTCATAAAAATTGAGAACCGCCTTTTAGCACTTTTACCATACTATTTGAACTTAGTGATGGGCCCTCCATTCGAATGAAGACACACAATTGCACAATATCCAGGGTTTGGTCATTCATTACAATTGCTACTGGAAGAAGATGAAGTACATAGCAGAGATCTCCACTCCAACGATACTCCAACTCACACCGACGACATTTAAACGACAGATTGACACCGCCGACTAGCAAAAAAGGAGTTTTTTTTTTACTTTCCCTTTAGTTCTCCTCCATTTTCTTCTTTTTGGTCATCTTTGAACACTCCAACCTGTCAAAAATATCGTTCATGTGCATAGGTAAAGTGTCTAAGACGTGCTTAACACTTAAAAAAGAGAGAAAAAATGGACACACCACGTGACATCTCCGACTTGTCAATGTGAGAAACGTGTCAATGCATCATAGCTCAAAAGGAGGGAGAACAAAAAGGAAAAATGCAAGAGGAACCCTGATTGGAGTTTAGGACGGGAAAAAAGAATATTAAATCTCAATCACTTCGGAGTCGTTTCTTAGGGACAGGGGATTCCAAGCATTCTCTTTAATTTCATGGATCTAATTTACATAATGGGCTAAATTTTACTATGCTAGGATGATGATGTAAATTTTTTTATTTATTTATTTTTTTTTTACGAGTAATTATATAATTTTATTAATCATTAGGATAATACATGGGGGTGTATTATCCAAATAAACAAGAAATAAAAGACATAAAGTTAGGCAACCCTTCTATACAATTAGTGGCCGCAGCATTAAACCAAGTATACTATATCCTATAAAACAATTCTCTAATATGCTCTATTGTTCTTGTTTGGTTTTCAAAACAATGGCTGTTCCTTTCTCTCCACACACACCATACAATGCCTCCCAAAATAAAACTCCACACAAGCCTCCAATCCTTATCTCGAAATTTTATATTCCATGCCCGCAACACGTCTTTTATGCACCTAGGTATCGCCCAATCCAAATGTTGGGAAGCTAAAATACCGTTCCACAGCCATCGAACACCATCACAATGGATGAACAAATGGTCAATGGTTTCCCCATCTCTCTTACACATATAACATCACTCAGTAACACAAAAACCTTTTCTTCGAAGATTGTCTATCGTTAACGCCTGCCCCCTCACAACTGTCCAAAACAAGAAAGCAACATGTGGAGGCAATTTACATTGCCACACCGTCTTCCAAGGAAATGAACTCTCCATCGGGTCAAATATGGTTATAAAATAAGAGCGAACTGAAAAAATACCATCCCGTTCTAACCTCCACCTGCTATGATCACACTCTCCTACCTAAATATGCGCCTCGTGCAAGGAAGTCAAAAACAGTGCATAATCATCCAATTCTCAATCCTGGAGTCCCCTCTCTAAAGCAATATTCTAGCTATAACTTTCATTATGTATGGCTATTACATCATTCACCATAGCGAACGGTTCCAAGGCATTGCATCCCAAAATCTGATATTGTTGTCATTCCCCACCACATATGTCAATTTATCTCAAAATTCATTCCATCCTCGTCGGATATACTTCCACAAACTCAACCCATAAGATCCACGACCCTCGATTGAGCACCAACCCCCTTCCATCACACCATACTTCGCTCCAATGATTTCTCTCCAAAAACTTTCCCTCTCCACTCCAAATCGCCAAAACCACTTGCCCAATAAAGCCTTATTAAACAGAATAAGGCTCTTCAATCCAAGGCCCCCCATTCTTACTGAAGAACAAACCACACCCCAATTAACAAGATAAAATTTTCTCTCTTCCCCTAACCCTGCCCAAAGAAACTCCCTTTGAATCCTCTCTAATCTGTTTGCCACTGTAACAGGAATGGGAAACAGTGATAAAAAATAAGTTGAGAGATTAGAGAGAGTGGATTTTATGAGGGTAAGGCGGCATCCCTTCGAAAAGTACATACGCTTCCACCCCGCTAACCTCTTCTCCATCCTTTCAACAATTCCACTCCAAATATGTTTACATTTAAACTTTACCCCTAAAAGAAGCCCAAGGTATGACATGGGCAACTGCGTAACCTTACAACCCAATATATCTTATTTTAGATGCTAAATATTTGATTGGTGCTTGATTGCTTATTATTGTGTTAATTGTTTTTATATTATTTGGTCAATTTCACGATAAGTCTGAGAATCACATTAAGATCGAGAGATGGAATTTGCGTTTAGCTCTTTTAACAAATAACATAGATTTCGATAATGAATAGAAATATGACAAAATATGTCAATTCAATTGTTACTAAATTTAGGACTGTTTATATGTATATCTTTACAACTGGTGAAGCAAAACTAGGGAAGAATCAAACTAAACTGGGAAAGAATCAAATCAGGAGATCTCCTAATCTTAGGAGACAAATCAGAACTAATTCCCAAATTTTGGAAATACAATAGAAGTAAAAATTCCTATATTACAGCACATGCATATCTTTCCACAAAATATATAGCTCTGGTCTATGCGATCATTGAATGGTGCTTTAATGTGCTTAATGGGGTATTTTTTGTTTGCAAATTCTCAAGGAGATAGGGAATGCATACATTATAATAAGTTTGACTTTACTTGAGAAAGATTGTCAAATAATGAAGGGGCGCCGATCGTCCACACAATCCAGACTAGAACTTGATTAGAAAGTAAATAACTAGGTGGGTCAAAATGCTAGTACTTTTTCAGACTCACATTTTAAGTTAATTTAGCCATGGTCTTGATTGCTTTAATTTTATTTGTTGCTTGTCAATTAATGACTTAGTTAAATGATCAAATCAATTTTTGCGTGTGCCTTAGAAATTCAATTGACTAATATTCAATTACTTAAATAGAAGTAGACCAATACTCACGGGATTCGACGCTTCTCATCACTTTATTATTTGATCATCACGACCGATGCACTTGCGGTATTACACCATCAAACAGGTATTTCAGAAACTTATATGTCCTAAAAGACCACAAAATCGTAGTAGATTCATACTCGCATTCCCGGCTAAATTACCTCATTTAGTTTAAGAAAGCAGCACAATAAATTCCTTTATCCTCTGATACTCGGACTCTTCGAAATGGTTGCAGTATCCATATCGAATACGACACGACATGGGTATGGGTATGGGATGCGTTGGATCCTCCAAGTTTCAACCGACCACTTCGCCGTTTTTTGCTTCTTTCTTTTTTCTTTTTTTTTTCTCTCATTTTCTACTCTCTATAAACCTAGCGCCACCTCCGAGAGGGGAGAGAAAGGTGACGGCGCTAGGTTTTCCCTTCTTCTTTCCTTTTTTCCCCTTTTCTATTCTCCGTTTTTTCCTTCTTTCCCTCTCTGTATCTGTGGTTTAGGGTTTTGTTTATATAAAATGAAAATGGGTTTCATACAATACTACTTAGTGCTCCATTAAATCCAAATTGCAATCAAATTCCTCATTTTCTATTTTATATAACATTTAGTATTTAACTTCTCATAATTGAAAACTAAACTCCAAAATTCTAATTTATTTGTCTTAACCCCTTATTTAATACTATTTCCTTCTTTGTGAACAATTGATTCTGGTCTATTCAAAATAACATCTTGAGTTAGTGAAAAAATTGAGGTTTCAAAGACGTACCCACGTACCCGTGTCCAAAATTTAGACCCTTTTTAGTCATATTCCCGTATCCTACATTTTAAAAAATAAAAGAACCGACACTTATATACGTACCCGTACCCGAGTCCGAGCATCATAGCCTTTATCTCAAAAACGGTACTTATTAATTCAAATCCCATTAAGATCAGAAATACAACTGCTAAATTGTAGTGACTGAAAAACAATAAAAATTGCCACTCAAGTAGTCCAAGTTTATCAGAAGCCACAACATATAGAGAATAAATCTCCTAGAGATTGTCACCATATAAAAGTAAGTACGGATAAAATATACCTTCACAGCTGACAGCTTGCGTCCTAGTTTCTCACTTTCATCCACATAGATTGGTGAATCAAGAGCCTTAGAATATAAGACCTCCCAACCAGCTACCTGAATTGCAATTAGCAAAAGTAAAACTTCAAAAAGATTAATCTAATAAATAAAATAAATTTCTTAGAAAATCCAGGTAGTTTTGTTTCTCTGTGGACAGTTCACTTGAGAAAAATTATGTGTGAGGGTGAGAGGAAAGCAGAAAAGAGAGAGGCGTGGGTGTACACAGAAAGAGGGAGAGGGAAAAAGATAGCAGCGTGCATCTTGTGGGTGTTAAGATGGAAACAGAAAGAGGGAGGGATTCAAACCAGAAAATCATATATATCCATGACCCAGAAGATTAGACCCATGCTAGGTAAAGATTCTTTGAAACTATTTTTCCCCCAAACTCAATTTTGACCACACATTCTCTCAATAAAACAATTTTACATGTGAACTCATTACTTTTCTTTACTTTTTAACCCCACCAAAAAAAAAAAAAGAAGAAGAAGAAGAAGAAGAATTTTACTTTCCCAAAATCTATTCTCAAAAATATACATCAAATAGGCACTAGGTTTTCCCAAACGTCCGTGTCATATCATAAATAAATATAATTGAGGCACTGAAGGAAAGATCAAGCTTACAGATATCTCTGAGCTCACTGATAGAGCAGAATTAATTTCCTCAATCAGCTTACTAGCTTCTTGGTGATATTCCTGCATGTGCATTCACACACAAATGTCAATCACAGATCCAGAGTCCACAACACAGGCAGGAAGACCACAGCCAGTGAAATGAGTTCGACCTTCAACTGAAGATGGCTGGGCTCATTGCAAGGAACATTGCCTAACTTCAGCAACTCCTTAACATGTTCCATCCGCACTCTCTCTGTGTCATGGTTCCGATTGCATGACCACAATTTCACCTTAGAAAGGCAATCTCTTACAGCTTCTACCCAATTTTGAGCTTCAATTATGTTCTTTGCCATGTCCCGCACCTACAGGCCATGTAAAGTAAAAGCATCTTCAATTGCAAGAATCCTCAATCTCCAGAGTTCAGATCGAAAATTAGAGCTTACGTGATCCATTTCAGAACCAGCCCAAAGAAATTGTTCAGCTTCCTTCAGTGCACTTGCATAAGCATCCTTGTCGTACGAATTCTTGAGAACCTCATGTGACCTTAGAAGCCATTCTTCGGCAAGCTGCAGATGCGTAACATGACCACCTTTTGCCTAAACATGGATAAAGTCAAAGGGCATGCTTTCAAATAATACTGCAAGTATAATACAGATAAATTTCAAAATACATTGTTAGAAAAGGTACAGACCTTTACCATCACAGTAGGTTTTAATAAGTTTCTTCCAGAAGCATACAAATATGTCTCATAAATAATACAAGCATGAACAGTTTGCCCTTGGTGGCAAACAATCATATTTCGATTAGTGGTTCAGTGATTAAACATTTTAAATAAACTAATCTAACGAAAACCTGCCCCAAATGCAGAAGATTAAACATCTAAAGAAATTTTCAGACTATTTTACATTCCTTTGCTATAATGCAATGATAGTTCCTCTTCTCCTGGTCTAGTGGCTCAGGTCGGGTGTGCCCTTGATTCTATTCTTTTTTGTTTGTGACGAACGTACTTAGACACAAGATCTTTCCATCACACAATCCCAAGTCTAACTGTTATTACTTATATCCAAAATCTAGTGTCAACGTTGTAATATAATCATTTATCTACCTTTTCACATCTATATCACTAGTAACTTATCAGTTTTGCGACAAAAGTAGAGAAAATCACTAAAAGTGCAGGCTAATTACAAGATTTTGATATTAAGAGCTTAATTGACGTAAAACTTATTTCATGATTTCCAGAACCATTTAATCCATGACAGAAATATGTTCGCTGTCCAAAACAGAAAGTAGGTGCATATAAGAACAGTCAGAATAATAGAGGAGGCAAGAATTATACAAATCACAAATATACAGAATACAATTTGTATAAAGAAGAGGCAGTTACTTTCTTTCACTAACCACAGTGGAATGGAGCAAGAACAATTTTTATATTCTAGCCATGAAGCAGCACAAATAAGCTTAGAAGACTCAACAAAACAATTAGAGTTTGCAAGCGGAATAAGTAGGTTCATCACACAAGAAGGTATGCCCAACCTTTTTCGCCAAAGTTACTGTTTTTTCCCAGCACAGAACGCTTTGTGAATCTCCACTTGTCTCTTCAGAATTAGTTTTATCAGTTCTAAGCACCAAATCATTCAATTCTTTCAGCGTATGACGATAAAATAGGCAAAGTTTGTTAGGCTTGCATTCACAAAGGCGGTCCCAATGCTGCATGAAAGAAGGAACATGAGATCCATTGATGGATGTTCAAACAACACCTTATTATTTCTCAATTTCATATTTTTAAAAAAGACCAGCACCAATATGAAGTTAAATAAAATTATCAACTGCCTAAAGCAGATGGTTAACAAAATCAGCCGGTAGAATACCAAACAGAAATTAAATGGCTCAAATATGAAAATTGAAGAAAGCTACAGGCTTAGAACTCATCAATAAGATTATAAAGAAAAATCAGAAGGGCCAGAAATTGCCCTCCATGACCCATCCCGCCCTGAAAACAAATCCAATTGAATGAAAACCCCTTGCATTTTAGACATTTTTCTTTGACTTTCTTCTTTCTTTCTTAAACCCAGAGTCTTTACTTGATCCAGGATGTGTGATGTATATGCCATTCCGAAGTGATCTATTAATCCACTAATAAGTCGTTTCATGGCAGTTCCATCTATCACTTTATTGTGAAATACCAGATTGGCCGTTCTACCATAAGTACCTCCATATTCTGCTAAGAGCTTAAAATACAAGTTACGGAAATAGGAGAAAGGAGAATTCATTTATGTGGCAAAACTTCTATATAACACATATGCACATGCATACATACAAATTTATATGCAGGGAGAGGGATATATTTCCAAGTATACTGTATATATAACCGGGTTGAGTTTGCAGTGAGTTGACCACAACCTACTTCCTTTAGAAACTATATCCGACAACCCCCTCTGCGAACTCACTTGTTAATGCAAAGTGTTTGGGGCTGGTACCTTCTTAACCCACTACGATTGCCATCCCCTACCTGAAATATCTGAAAGTATCATAATAAATTCATCTGCATTATCAATTCACTCACCTCCAGGCAAACAGATGCTGGTGGTCTACAGTTGCAAGCAACAGCAGATAGATATAATGATTGTTGGCAGATGACACATGTAGGATCCTGCATGAGACATAAGATGATATTTCTCAACAGCGCACCAAATCTCATTTTGGTACCATGAGACTGAAGAATAAGAAAATCAACTAAATTACCTCTTCAGTACCCACATACTCAGGCTGCTCTCGAGGTGACATAGGAGAAGATCTAATGATGCCATTTCTCCAAAGCTTCTCTCTCCAAGTTTTCTCTTTATTGTGTATCCTAACCAATTCCTTTTTCAAGTAAGTTGATACTCTGCTATCAAATTCACCCTGCAAAGAAGTATCGCAATAACTCCAAAGCATCAATAGATTCGTACAACGACCAGCAGGATTTTGAATAAATAAAAGGTCAGTGGTGGACAATGGCATGTGATGATGACATCCAGAAAAGAAATGAAAGACCATGAGCAGAATTTCACAACCATGCAGCTATTTTATGGCTTCCATGAGTAGAGGAACTAAAGAGAAAAGGTGGAATAAATGCTCAATAACTGAAGTTTGAGGATTCATGAAGTGGATGAAGAAAACTAAGCTGTCTTCAAGAACAGATAAAATATAGTTTAGGAAGAAATAAAGCTAGAGGCTGAATCTGATACAAAATTTGAGATGAATTGTCATTTTACTATGAAAACAAAGAAAACATCTCTTGCTTTCTCAAACAGCCATCAGCACTACATTTACAGCTCACCATACCGCATATCAAATAACTGTACATATAATAATCACATATTTAGTATAAATAATCATAGTGTAATCCCATACATTACGCAAGGAAATTAAGGGTAAACTATTGTCATGCATTCAACCAGGAGCGACAACTATGAAGCATGAGTATCTTAATTGTTGTAGTTACATTATATCTTCAATGATTGAAGGATTATGCTGTCAATACTCTCATTTCACTATCAAGAAGCTAAAATTGGTAAAAAAAATAAAAACATAAATCTAGATGAAGCAGGCTGAGTGAGAAACTGGACCTTTCCTACTACACACAGAAGCTCATCATGAGAGAGTACAGCAGCTTTGTGATAACGACGGTAAAGCTCTGATCCAAAACCACCATGAGGTAGCCAATCAGCAGGAGCAAAATTGACTGCCTCGGCACAATTCAAACCTGTCATTGCAAAGAGTAATAAAATTTCCAAATAATTATACATTACATGTGATCCATCACAGCACACAGAGATTATGCACTACAGTGCTGTGAGACTGACACACCACACACTTGCAAAGTATGAAAAGAATATAAGCAGTTTTGCGCACCAAAGTTGAAGCCTCCATGATAAGATCGGGGAAAAGTGATGACAAAGTTCCCTGGCTCCTGCCAAGGTAAAACAGTTGGAACGATTATAGAGATATGGAGACAAGATTTACAGCTCAAAGATACAAAAGATCAAGCCGCTGATAGTAAAATATTTCACGCTGCTATAGATGAGAGAGAATCAAATTTTATGGTCAAATAAAAAAGGGACGAGATTTCTAGAATATGCTAAAATGTCAAAAATAATAAAAAATAAATAAATTCAACACGACAATAGCATTAATGTGCATTCATATAATCAAAGACAAAAAGCTTGAAAGGTTTTGACCTAAAGATGTTTGCCTAAGATTAAATGAGCCAAACAGGCTGCGGGTCAGCTGATCAGGGTGAGTATATGAACCAATTAACATTCAAATAATATGAAAATATTCTAGCCACCTAAGCACAGATTGATTCTAACCAAGCAAATCTACAGGTTGGAAGGATTAGCTTAATCATGATTCAGCTTTACTGGCTACTTTATAAGTTTAAGTTCGAAAGAATTGATCATCAGAACAGCAATGAGAAGTTAACAGAGCAATCAACACACGCTAAAACCAGTAGTTAACAGCAGCAAAATTTCCTGCGAACTGAATTTTATAGATGACTCCTCCATTGTTTCAAGTTCTCTAAGATTTGAAGTGTAATATGAAAACGGTAATAGGGAACCAATAAGCTTAGCCATTAATTGGTAAATCTCGCAAAAGACAAAAATACATGTATTTCCAAGTACACAAGATTATGCCATACCTGTATAATGCTGTAAACTGGAACCCTTTTCGCAAGGAGGACAGATGGATTCAGCATTGTGACGAGCTGAAACAATAGATCTGGCTGTGCATCAAACAAATCGGGAAGACTATCTTGCATTACCTGCATAAAGAAAAGAAGGTCAACAGTTTGCTCGAGTCTTGACCAAAGAACCAGAATGGAAAGACCTCACCTTCAAAGTCAAACCAATATTAGAAGTCACTTTTTCTGTTACTTAAAAACCAAAAAAAGAAAGAAAAACTCATCTTCTAACCAAAAAGAATGCAGTTCTTTAATTTACAGAATGAAAGCAAAAAAAAAAAGGACAAAGATAGTTCAAACCAAACAATGAAGAAAAACATTAGGCAAGGACATAGCCGCAGAAGAAACATTACCACCAAAGACATTAAAACAAAGGAATTATGATAAGCATCACCAAGCGAGATATATATTCCCATAAAGAAAGATTTTTTTAAGAGTCTCCACCAGACAGAAAAACTAACATAAAGTATGACAAGTACTTGTACCAAAACCTCAACCAATATCTTTTCCATGCGCAAGCAAAGAGAAACGGACGAATGTGGTTGTATATGCTTTCTATATGTGGAAACAATAGGAACCTCTCGCCTGCCCTGACCTCATTACTAAAATTCATTAGATGAAGCACTGTCATAAGTTCTAAAAAATAAGAAATTGAACACATCCTGCTGAAAAAACTAGTGCTGAAAGGTGGAGGCCTAGGCATGGAGGGGTGAGAAAAAGCCTGGAATAAAAGGTAGGTGTGGAAAAAGGAGGTCAACCATAATTTGATAGCCTAACATGATCCTTCCAATGTTCCTTTTTTTAGGTTAAATAAACTAAATAAATAAAAGGAAGAGTTGTTATATGGAAAATTAGAAAGTAGAAACTGTTTTTAACAAGAAAAAATTATAATTTAAGTATAAATCTCTTTCTAACTTATTAATTGCATGCTACTGGCGATAGACTTATTAGGTTTCAACTTTCAAGGTATGTAACATTTTATTTATTTAATGGTCTTAGAATAATTAAAATAACATCAAAAATAGAAAAATGTCTTATTAAGCCTGGGCACACTTAAAGACTCATAAGGCTTAAGGCTTGACCTTGTGGCCTTGCCACGCCTTGTGCCTTTTAGAACCTTGGCAAAAACCAAGGCATGAATTTCTTAATCACCACTAAACAAAAAATCTAGCAGAACATATACCGACTATTTCATAACTAAACCTCGTCCAGGTCATCTTTTCCACACATAAGCAAAGAGAAAAGGTGTATAAATTTGTATATGCTTTCTATACATCAAGACAAAAGTAAATTCTGGCTGGCACATACCTCATTCTACAGACTAGCTGAAGCAATACATGAAATTATAAATTGGAAGAACAAAGAGATGAGACAAATTATTGTGTAGAACCGAAATACCTTTTCAAAAGCACAGGCATCATTACCAGGGACACTGTACCAGCATTTTGGCTCTCCCCTGAAAGCATGTGTAAAAGATCAATTCAAGAAATAATATGTTCCCACATATTAAACTAACATATCCAAAGCAGACTGACAGAATAAGAATAGAAGAGATGTATCTGAACGTGCACTTGTACGCATGAGAGAGAGATTGACCTCATTACATTTCTGTTCACTGATGAAAAACATAAATGTTCTGTATAAAACGACCTCCAAGACCCCAAACATCAGTATTTTCCAAAACAAGGACATTTATGTTTAGTTAATAGTCTCTGAGATAAGAAACACTATATAATAATAGTTACTGGAAGCAAGTAACCCTTTTATAACTATAATCCAAAGCAACCAAGCGGTTACATTTACTCATTAAAGTGGGTCACAATTTACTAAAATACCACTCAAAGAATGAAAAATTCACTAGTATACAAGAAAGGAGCCAATGTTTGGCCTGCATTTTTTAAAAACTCATCTTTCTTCAAACTCATTTTCAACCACATATTTCATGGGGCCCACAACTTTTATCAACTTTTCTACCATGCATTTAATCAACCTTTACCAAATGTTCTAAAATCTAATTTTTGACAAAACCAAACAGGGGCGAAATAACATTTTCATGCGTCCAGAAGTGAACAAGCATTACAACTAATAAAATAATCATAATTGGGTGTGATTTAATGCTGAAGATAAAGATGAAGATTAAGATTTGAAAAACATTTTTTATGTGACATACTTATTTCTATTGTGAAAGACAGTCTTCGTGTAATAACTGATTAATTTGTGGGAGCCAGAGAAACTTTACCCATGAAGGAAAACTTAGTCAAAGCAAATGCAAGCCCTTAGCTTGCTGATAAGTGCGGCCTTAACTCTCTGCAAAATCTTATGTTTTACGATGTTTTAATGAAATTGAGTCGATGGTGAAAGGAATCAGCCGTGTAAACATGAAAAAGTGGGCATGAATGTAAGTTTGTTAAGTTGAAATTTTGCTAAAAGACATATCAAGTCTCCAAAGAATTTTGAATAAGAATAACCATTACTTTATGAATGCATATGCAAGTAACTCTCTGTACATGATATAGATTAAAAGCAACTAAGGTTTTAAGCATGTATACGATTCCTGAAAATATTTTTGATAGTTGAATATGATACGAAAGACATGTGGTTTTAAGTGACTGAGAAGTAAAATTACTTCAGATCAAAATAAGAAGCAAAGTCACTAAAATATCAGCTTGAGGGTCAAATGTTGCATCATGGCAGAAAATGTATGTCTAGCAATAACACAACTAAGCTGATTCTTCCCATCATTCGGTTGGCATTTCTTTCCTCTCCTTAAGTTTTTAACCAAACAAAATACTTTTGCCATTGGATTCAAATTGAATTCCAAATACACTATGCGTGCAAAAATTTATATATGTTTACATCTCCTTACATCTATTTCAGCAGACATGATATCACATGTTAAATGACTAAGATCATACTTAATATGGTACGAAATTTGTTAATTTAATAGGTTCAGTAGACTGCATACCAGTGAAGATAATTCATAGAGTAAAAGCAGAGGTCCTCAAAGTGCCAGCAAAATGAAGAGAACAGCATCCCAATGTAAAGCCAGGGCACCATAACGCCAGCAATGTTCTGATGCACAGCTCGAAGCATTGAACCTTGTAACCTGGGTAAGTTATTGAGATTCCATGGAGTTGAGCAATACTCATCCCAGATATCATCTTCGACAGAAGAAGGTCTCTGATCAGTTACACGAGGAAATCCACTACCATAAACTGAAGTATCCAAGTCACTACCATACATTACTTCCAACTCGCCAACTGATCCCTCCACAATTTCCCAGAACATTTTTTCTAGTTGAACCCGTGATATACTTGCTGATCCAAACCATTTCTTCTTGACCCGATCAGCCATGCGCTTGAAAGCTTCCAATGAAAATTGCTTACCGGGCACAAAACCAAAGGTATCCTTTTCTGGATTCAAGCACTCAAAACAGTACCAGTTTCCAGGAGGAACCCTCTTCAAAGGTGGTGACAAACAATAGATATGCCAACCTTTGTTACACCTATCACACAACAACATCACTTCTTCATGCAACCCACTTCTGCATCGTTCACATATCTGAGTGGGCTCTTCTTCCTCTAGTTTACATTGTTCGACCCTCTCACCAGCTTTATTCTTTCTCCTTCTCTTGCAGCCAGAAACCTCGACCTCCGGTTCTGATTTCTTGCAACCACTAACCCCCCTCTTGCAACCCTTCTTTCTCTCTCTGTTCAATCGACAAAGATACTCTTCATAATCATACAAATGCTCCAAATACAACTGACACAACACGTGCTTAGCACACTCTGTGATCTTCCTTTGAGGCTGCACAAACCTAAAAACCTCCCCCCACTTCTTCCCTTTAACAACACGATCATAACCTCCAAACCTCTTAACTGCATTAAACAACTTACACAAGTCTAACTCCTCCCCCTCAAACACAAACCTCTTCTTCGCCTTTTTCCCACAATGCTGCTCCAAGAACCGGTTATACTCTAATACAAAAGTCTTCGAATCACAAGAAGCGGAGCGAGCCTGCAATTGGTGAATCGCCTGTGTTTTCGTTGGAAACGTGAACAAATCCAAGTCCAATGCAAAAGGAGGTTTCCAACTTTTTGGAGGCACAATTTTACAAATCCCATACGGCTCAGCTCCGGGCCTGATCTTCTCTATATACTCTAAAGGGTCCTTAAATTCCTCCTCAGTTGGATAGAACGCAGGCCCTGCTGGTATGTTCACTGACCCACATCCACTTGATAAACCCCCACTAGAATTACCTCCTACAACCCCTTTCTCTACTTTTCTTGGCCTCCCTTTCCCCATCAATATATTCTATCTCATCTCACACCATAAAACATCAAACTACATCACAATATCCAACAACATCATGAAACCCAACAAAAATGCATGAATAAATATCCAAAAAAGAACTATCTTGATTATTAATGTAAAGAGTAATTGTAAAGATATCAATAAAATGAATTTAGGGTTTCGAGTGTACCTTGGTGCAAAGTCTTCTTGTCAACTTCTCTCTCTATATATCTACACGTGTATCTATATGTATGTATAGAATAGTTGGGAGTGAGAAAGGACTTTGGGTACGAGGGAAACTGGATTGGATTTCGGGTCAGAAAATGATGAATATTACGAAAATCGTAAAGTGAATCTAAAATGCTAAAATTGTAAGTTTGAAGGTAATTCTCTGCGGTTGAAATCACTAAAGTTTGTTGTTCATTAATAGATACGGCGAATGAAACTCAGATAGGGATTAAAGGGTGTCTCAATGGTACAATAGTACAAAGCACAAAGGGGATCTTTGGCTGCAGAGTATGCACACAAGCGCGTGGTATATAACTTGACCTTTTCCGTGTTGCTCAAGGCAAAACTAGCGATTGAGATATGGAAGTGGTGTCCACGAGGTAAACAGCAGCGTGAGATAGACATGGGTTGGCGTATTTTGGAAACCAATAAAATACAAGTGCAAAAAATATTAACGGAATGGAGACCCACGTTGACTTGGCCAAATCTGATCGTCCTTCTTCTTTCCTTTTCTTCTCTTCTTCTTCTTTTTTTTTTTTTAAAAAATAATACATTTTAAATAATAATTTGATGGAAAATATGATTAAAACAAAAAAAATAGATTTAAATTTAATATTGTTTTGTTAAAAAATGTGTGATTGAAAATAAATTTTAAAAAAAATAAATTTTGAAAAAAATAGGAATCAAACGAGGACTTTATGATTTCTCATCTTCTAATGGTGCCATACGAAGTGTTTTATGTCAAAAATTTTTATCAAAAAAATCAGTGCCTATAACATGATTATTCTTTATTTTCTCTTTCATTTTATCAATCATGAGACAAATCATAAAAAGCCAGCAAAATGTTAGTTCAAAATCAAATTTTTTTAAGTCCCTATTTGGCCCCATTAAATTAAAATTTATTTTTTCTCTTATTTTCAACTATATATTTTTAATAAAATAATATTACACGTAAATCTAAAAAAAATCCTTCTTTTTTATCTACACATTCACAAAAAAATTATTATTCCTCTCATAATTTTGAATAATGGAGTCGAACAGGGGCTAAATTTTAATAAACATTATGAAGTATATGATAAAAAATAGATAAAATTTATCAATTCAATAAAATGTGTCATGAAAAAATCATTTTTAAAAAATGGAAAGACACAAGAATCTCTCTAATAAAAAATGGCATATCACTTACACTCTACACGTTAAATGACTCTGGATGTCATTCAAAACTTTGCGGTTCATGTTAAGATGTTCTTGTGATAGTTTCTTTAATGTTGATTAACAAAAAAGGTCCTCGTCGTAGCTCGATGCAATGCAATATTCATCTTCTTAATTAATGATTTAGTGATTAATTTTCGTTGTACTTTGTTTGGCTGGATGCTCAATTCTGAAAGTCTGCTTTTATAAATTTGTGCTGCTTGATAAAGGCATTTTTGAGATGGTTGAAAGTGAGGATTTCACTTCATTGATGATAGATTGAAAGCTCTCAATGTTGGAAAATAAGACATGCTTTCTCCTGATCCTTACTTGACAAGTATCTAACGGGTTCGATGAGTTCTCCATCAATATATCTATGTCCATAATCGTTGCTCAAGTCAAAATGCTATTGAACTTATGTCTTTGTTTGATCTTCATTTTTGTAGAATGAATTTTGTAAAATGTGATTAATTTTTTTTTAAATGGTTAAAACGTAGGAAAAAATTTTAGATTACATGCAAAATTATTCATTGGGAAATAATAGCCCCAGTTTGTTTCTCATTATTTAGTCATTAAAATGAAAAATATGACCGTTATCCATTACATTAAGCCACTATATTTGAAAATCTGTCTCTTGTGTGGGGTTCGTCAGGAAGTATGTAATAAAAAATAGATAAAATTTATCAATTCAATAAAATGTGTCATGAAAAAATCATTTTTAAAAAATGGAAAGACACAAGAATCTCTCTAATAAAAAATGGCATATCACTTACACTCTACACGTTAAATGACTCTGGATGTCATTCAAAACTTTGCGGTTCATGTTAAGATGTTCTTGTGATAGTTTCTTTAATGTTGATTAACAAAAAAGGTCCTCGTCGTAGCTCGATGCAATGCAATATTCATCTTCTTAATTAATGATTTAGTGATTAATTTTCGTTGTACTTTGTTTGGCTGGATGCTCAATTCTGAAAGTCTGCTTTTATAAATTTGTGCTGCTTGATAAAGGCATTTTTGAGATGGTTGAAAGTGAGGATTTCACTTCATTGATGATAGATTGAAAGCTCTCAATGTTGGAAAATAAGACATGCTTTCTCCTGATCCTTACTTGACAAGTATCTAACGGGTTCGATGAGTTCTCCATCAATATATCTATGTCCATAATCGTTGCTCAAGTCAAAATGCTATTGAACTTATGTCTTTGTTTGATCTTCATTTTTGTAGAATGAATTTTGTAAAATGTGATTAATTTTTTTTTAAATGGTTAAAACGTAGGAAAAAATTTTAGATTACATGCAAAATTATTCATTGGGAAATAATAGCCCCAGTTTGTTTCTCATTATTTAGTCATTAAAATGAAAAATATGACCGTTATCCATTACATTAAGCCACTATATTTGAAAATCTGTCTCTTGTGTGGGGTTCGTCAGGGCCGGCTTTGAGAATTTGGAAGCCCTAAGTGAAAAATTATTTTGAGGCCTTATATTTTTTTTTTTTTTTACACGTGTAACGACATTCAAAAACAAGGATAAATGTGTTCATTATACACCTATATTAACACATTTGTCCACTCCTACCTTTGCGAAACTAAACACAGTACAGAAAATAACATACTCAGAAAACTTACAGGAAAACAAATTGTGGCACGAATAGCCATGGTGCATTCTTCTAAATGACAAGGAAAAAGGTAGAAAGAATTAGCCATTTGTTTCAATATTTGCGCAAATCATTACATAAACAGCAAACAATGTCTTGTTTAATAGTCAATCTTAATGTTAATTTGAAGTGATTATCATTTAATTGACTATTCTAATGACTAAGCATTGAAGGCTTATATTTCTGAATTTTTCAAACCAGCCCAATCCTCTTCAGAAAGAAAGAATGGTGAAGCATCCATTTCTTTCACGCTTTTTCAACATAGAGAAATCAAAAATGATAATAGCTTCTTCAAATTGTCAAAATTACTGAAAGAGCACTCATTAAGTAATTTTTTAGATGTTCATTGGTGGGTATATGTTTTTGCTTAATTCTATCATGAGACGGTTAGTTTATAGTTTTTAAGGTAAGCATCGATTTTCTATTTGTTAAAAAATTACAAAATTTTAGTGAAATATCTTAATTTAAGACCTCTAAAAAAATTTATTTCATTGAGCGTCATATATTTTTTATCATGAATGTCACGAAAGTAGCCTCCGAAACTCAATTTCTTGTGACGTAAGTTCATTCAAAAAAGTTAAACTTCAACCCATCTTAACATCATTTTCATGCTCCACCCCTGTGCAAATAGATCAATATAGATGGGCCAATCAATCTCTCAAGCTGTAATTTAGTTTAAGGTAAGGTGCTCTTTGAAGGTGAATCTTTCTACGTTGTTGCTTACATGTTGTATTATTTAGAATTTTTTAAGGGTCCATCACGAGAAATTGTGAGACGGTTCAGTTTAGACCTTTGGACATCACCTTTAGCCTTTGGGCTATTTGCAACACTTACGTATATAATCATTCTTATAATGTGACAGTTCTTATTAGGTTGATAAGAGATCTCTTTGTATAATTGAATATATGGGTTCCATGGCGGTAGTTTGAAGTTCTTTATAAAGTCTAATTTGTTATACTTATCCCTTGTACATAACGAATTTACGTGATAATTAGCATGTTGGACAGGGATGAATTAACATGCCTCTGATACAAGGATTATTTTCAAAAAGTATTTTGAACGTTATTAATATAGTTTTTAGTTTAAGTATTTTTTCATTAGAATGTTGGACATTTTATTTTTTCACAAGATAACTTTAATCTAGCTACTTTTCAGATTTACAAATTGAGACAGATTTATGGTCGGAGATTATATTGCAAATTCATTGAGTTCATTTCTATTTATATAAAAACTATCTTTCGGTTGTACGAGTTAAGTGAAATTTAAATAACAATGCCTTTGTTATTTATTATGCTATTGTTCTAGCTTTCCGCCTTTCATTAAAAAATTATGTTGTGCACATTTATTTTAAATTTACTAATGAAATTGTTGTATTTCAATAGCCTCATGAGTTATCTATTTGCTGAACTTGGAATTTGTCATTTGGATGCTCAAAGAATTAGGTATTGTGCTTTTTGTACATTGTGTCGAGCTATTATCGGCGAATATAATCGGTACGAGTTTGAAAATGTTTTAGTGCCTCAAATGTCGTCATCAACAACTGATTTTTGAATATGTCATATGTTAACGATCATGTACCTTCTGTTAAAATTTCACATATCATTATTATTGAAAGTTCTAATAGCCGATTTATTTATTTATTTAGACGTAATGAGCAAAAATAAGCAATTAAAAAGCAACAAGTCACTTTTAATATTTTCTAGGTGATTAGTCAACCAACCTCAATTACCATATAGTTTGAACGTCAAAATCAATAAATAAAGCAGTAAAGAATGTCAAAGATGATTACTTAAAAACTGCAACTGGGTAAAAATTTGGGCACTTTACCGGTCAATAATCCACTATAAATCAAAGCAAACTTATAGTACGAACAGGTCCCACTAAAGGTGTATTCCTTCAAAACAAAATTTTTGGCTCCTGGTTTATATCTTGGCATTTCTAGACTGCGTGCTCTTGACACCAGGTCTCAACTCCTAGTACCTCACCTTAATGTTTCCGAATTCGTGCTTCTGCAAGAGTTCCTAATCCCTGGTATCGACTTATCTTCAATGTGTTAAACGAAGAATTTCTTGTTCTTTGGGTTGTGCTTGATCAAATGATCTTTGTGTCTTGATCGATGATTTAATGTCTAAGGATATAAAAAATATATAGCTCAATGTATATATCAATTAATGGAATAATTTATAGTTCGAAGAAATATCTGGACTTGAAAAGATTTTATGAACAATGGTTGAATCTCGGATCGATGAATGATGATTTGGATCTTCAAGAACTATCTCTATGGAATAATAGGATTCATCAACATTTAGGACATTTATGGGGTTGTATATTTATAGGCCCAAAGCTCATTACATAGGTCATTTTAGTCGCTTAATGGAGAAAAGAT